GGCTCCTTCAATTCGAAGCTTGGTTGTTGTTTCTCCCTCTTATGTGTTTGTTTAGCTTGTTCGGTGTGCTTCTCTTTGTTCCGGCTTTGGTGTTGGTCTCGGGTTTATGTAGGTGCTGCTTCCTCTCTCTGCCTTCGATGCTTTTCTTTCTCTTCCCCATATTTCAGGTTATGTTGGTTGTGGTTTGAGGATTTGGAGTTAAGGGTCTGCAAGCTTGGTTACTCTTTCTCTTCCCCTTCCTTGTTTGTTGGTCATGGATCTTTGATTGCCTCTTCCAGTTGCGGCCTGTTACTACTCCACTGTCTTGCGTTATTGATGAAGTCTCGGGTTCTCTCTTCTGGGTATTAGGTGCGGATGATGGTTTTCTGTGGGGATTAGTTACTTCAGGCGGTGAGCCTACCTCTTCTTTTTCATCGGTTGGATGGGCTAATGTCGTCTACAATACCACCTTCTTCCTTGGTTTTCCTAGTAGTGTAGGGGCTGGGACTCTATTAGAAAATAAGGTTGAAGCTCTCGGGCTTATGTCAAGACGAGATAAGTTGATAGAGTGGTGTGTTGCTGCTGATTCTTAGAGGTTGATTTGGCTATTCAGTGGTTCTGTTTAATGGCGGCTTATCTTCAATGTGTGGTTTAGATTTGCTTGGTCCTTGGCGGAAGATTAGAGTGGTTTAGTTTGGGCAACCCTCATTGTTTTGACGTCTCTTCTCGGCATAGTTGGGTTCCTAGTTCTTTGTAGTGTGCTCGCTCAGCCGCTTTCTATCTTAATGTCGCCGATCGCTGTTTACTGTGCCTTTTCACTCTGTCACTTGGGTTGGGTTGTCTTTACTCGGAATCATAATACCCTTACATATGCCTTGTAGTATCCTTTTTTAGCTTAAATTCCATTGCCTTGTTTGCTTACTATAGTCTTTTAGTGTTGTTCTTATGTTGTATTTTGTATCCATGTTGTAACTTTACCATATACTTTTCAATAGAAGAACTTTTTCAAAAAAAAAAAATTGTACATTCCACCAAGCAAAATCGCAAATGGATGACTCAGTAGGATGAAACTCAATAAAAATAATTTTTGGAAACAAAATCACGAAAATATGGCATGCTTATAAAAAACATAGGAATACTTTTCAAGTATATGGATATTATATAACAGTAAGAATAATAAAATTTATTCAATACTTTAGTTTATATTATAAATGAGTGAACCTAACAATGATTAGATAATTCAGGAGCAGAACTGCATCACATGGTACAACCATCAATTGCGTTGCCAGATTGATGACTCCTGGAAAGAGACAGATTCTACTTCAGGGTTAGGATGGGTATGTGTTCAAGGCGATGAAACTATCCTCTTTGGTGCGAAAGGTCTCACACATCGGAG